TCCCCTCCTTCTCCTATCACTATTGCTACTGCTAATGGTTCATCTATGCCTGTCTCCTCTATTGGTTCTATTTTCTCTTCCCATTTGTCTCTTTCTCCTGTATTTTATGTACCTCACCTCTCACTTAGTCTTATTTCTATTAGTCAATTATCTGATTCCAGTTTTGATGTTGTTTTCTCTTCCTCTCATTGTGTTGTGCAGGATCGGGTCTCCAAGAGGCAGATTGGGATCAGGCGTAGAGTTGGAGAACTATATATCTTGGACAGCTTACATGTTCCTTTAGATGTGTCTTCTACTGCATTGTCTTCTTTTTGTTTAAACAATAAGTCCTCTTTATTTTATATTTGGCATTCTAGGTTAGGTCATTTGTCGAGTGATCGTTTGAGGATGTTAGTTCAGTCTGGACATTTAGGCCATTTTCCCATTGCGATATTTCAGAGTGTCGTGGTTGTAAACTGGCTAAAATGTCTGCTCTTCCATTTAATAAAAGTAGTTCTATTTTATCTTCTCCTTTTCAATTGGTTCATACTGATGTTTGGGGTCCTTCCCCTATAGTTACTAAGGGCGGTTCGCAATATTATGTATCTTTTGTGGATGATTACAGTCGGTTTACATGGGTTTATTTGATGACACGAAAATCTGATTTTTACAAAATATATTCCAATTTTCACTCCATGATTTGCACTCAATTTTCCACCACCATTAAAGTTCTTCGTTCTGATTTGGGGGGTGAGTATTACTTGTCTGAGTTTGAGGAGTTTTTAGCTACTCATGGTACTATTCATCAGTCTTCTTGTTTAGACACTCCTGCCCAAAATGGTCGCGCTGAGCGCAAACATCGCCATCTCCTTGATACAGCTCGTTCTTTGCTACTCTCATCCTTTGTCCCTTCTGTCTTTTGGGGAGAAGCTGTGCTCACTGCTGCATATCTTCTCAATCGGATGCCTACTCCTCTTCTCTCCGGCTCCTCTCCGTATGAGCGTCTTCTTGGTGTTACTCCCAATTATTCTCTTCTTCGTGTTTTCGGTTCTACATGCTTTGTGCTCCTTCCTAAACGGGCGCGCTCTAAGCTTAGTCCTCGTTGTGTCCTATGTGTCTTTTTAGGGTATGGCATTAATCAGAAAGGTTATCGGTGCTATGATCCTGCCACCAAAAAGCTTTATGTGTCTAGGCATGTCACTTTTTTGGAAAAACTACCCTACTACACTATACCTTCCACCCCTATCCCTATTACCAAGGAGGAATTGGTTCACATTGACCCATTTCCTTCTGATGTTTCTTCTGATGAGTTTGTTTCTGATCTTGAGATCTCTACCTTGCCTCCTTCTAGTACCTCTAATATCTCAGCAGCTCCTCCCTCTCCAGCTCCCGCTTCCCTTGCTCCTCTTCTTGTTTATCAGCGTCGCAAAGCACTTCCGAGTTCGTCTGTCTCTAGCTCTACTGTCCCTCCAGCTGTTTCTTTGGATCCCGCTCCTCCTGCACGTCGTTTTTCCACGCGTGATCGTCGTGCTCCGAACTGGTATGGTTTTGGTAATACATGTTTTTCCCTTTCATATCAGTTTTTTCTTTCTTGTCTTCATACTTATTTTGAGCCTAGGTCCTACAATGAAGCTTGTCATGATCCCAATTGGATTGCTGCCATGAATGACGAGTTAACTGCTTTAGCTAACACTCAGACTTGGGATTTGGTTCCATTACCTACTGGCAAGAATATTGTAGGCTCTAAATGGGTCTATAAGGTCAAAACCCTTTCTGATGGTTCTTTGGAACGATACAAGGCTCGTTTGGTTGCCCAGGGCTTTTCTCAGGAGTATGGGATTGATTACGATGAGACTTTTGCCCCCGTTGCCAAGATGACTACTGTTCGCACTCTTATCTCTGTTGCTGCTGCCCATCACTGGTCTTTGTTTCAACTTGATGTCAAAAATGCCTTTCTGAATGGGCATCTTGCAGAGGAAGTATATATGCACCCTCCACCGGGTCTCTCGCACCCTCCTGGTGTGATTTGTCGTCTTCGCCGTGCTCTCTATGGTCTTAAGCAGTCTCCTCGTGCTTGGTATGAGCGATTTCACTCTGTTGCACTTCAGCTTGGGTTTTGCCCTAGTCATCATGATTGTGCTCTATTTGTTCGGCGTACTTCTGTTGGCCTTGTTCTTCTTCTCTTATATGTGGATGATATGATCATCACAGGCTTTGATTGTAATATTATTGAGGAGGTTAAGCATCAGTTGTTTCAGGAGTTCGAGATGAAAGATTTGGGGTCTCTTCGATATTTTCTTGGTATTGAGGTTGCTACTTCTCCTACTGGGTATCTTCTTTCTCAGACTAAATATGCCCGTGATATTCTTTCTCGTGCCAATCTCACTGATGATAAGATTGTCGACACTCCTCTTGAGTTGCATGCTAAGTTTTTTGCTTCTGATGGCGTTCATCTTGAGGATCCCACTTTGTATCGTGAGTTGGTTGGGTGGGGTGCCTTGTTTATCTCACCGTTACTCGTTCGGATATCTCCTATGCTGTGCACATTCTCAGTCAGTTTGTTTCTGCTCCTCGCTCCACACACTGGGCTGCCTTACTCCGTACTCTGCGTTACCTTCAGGGCACTTTGTTGCAATGTCTGCTGTTATCCGCCTCTTCGGACTTGACTCTCCGTGCCTACGCTAACGCTGATTGGGCCGGTGACATCTCTGATCTCAAATCCACTTCTGGTCTTTGTGTTTTCCTTGGTGATTCTCTCATATCTTGGAAAAGTAAGAAATAGTCTGTTGTAGCTCGTTCCACTGTTGAGGCTGAGTATCGTGCCATGGCTCATGCTACTTCCGAGATAGTCTGGCTTCGTTGGCTTCTCTCTGATATGGGCATCTCTCTTTCTGATCCGATTCCATTGTATTGTGATAATCAGAGTGCTGTTCAGATTGCTCATAATTCAGTCTTCCATGAGCGGACCAAGCATGTTGAAATCGATTGTCACTTTGTCCGACAACATCTTCAGGCTGGCACTATTTCTCTTCCTTTTGTTCCGTCCTCTCTTCAGTTGGCCGATTTTTTTACAAAGACTTATACTGTTGCTCGTTTTCGTTTTCTTCTTAGCAAACTTTCGATGCTTTCTGCGCTCGCATCCTCAGTTTGAGGGGGTGTGTGAAGATTATTGTATTTTCTATTAGTTATTTAGGGTAGTTTAGTCTATTAGATTATTAGGGTTTATTTCATTTAGGTTATATATATTGTACTCAATGATTATTCAAAATATATGAAATAGATGTTCTTTGTTATCAGTACAGACATATACGAAGACTTTGCCAACATAACTGCATAAAACAAAATGACAAAAGGCGAAGTCAGTCTCGTGCGTGAGACTTTTGGCTGACTCTTCAAAACTCTGACTGTTTCTCACAATTTCACCGGGGCTGATTTTGGACATCCCTTAGCTCACCTACATGTACATGAATGAGTATGAGCGAATGCCCAGTGAATAATATCAAATAAGCAAGTTACATAAGCAATTATTGAAACAATACAACGGACAGCCTTCGGCCCAATCATTTATGTCAATCGGCCTTGGGCCCAATCATTCTTTTCAATCGGCCTTAGGCCCAATCATTCTTTTCAATCAACGTGCAAAGCTTATATGGAAGTAACAATTGGACAATAGCATACTACAAATATCTTGTTAAGATATTACTCACAGTGATCGGTTGATTGGTTCGCCCTGGAACTCGACTCTACACATGCCATGAACATAGAAGGGTCATTAACAATTCAATCCGTTCAAAATTCACATTTTTCCTCTTTAGGCTTCATTTTTATCCCTTTAACTCATTAACAATGCTTAACATATGCCTAAGAGTGCTTGCAAGTAAAAGAGAACGGAAAACAGAACATGGAATGCAAAAACATAATTTCAGAAATCAGGGTCCCAACTCGAGCGTGGACATCCCTGCTCGAGCGGACCCGTAAGGCCTGCAAAAGTACTGGTTGCATGAAAGATACGCTCGATCGCGCATTCTGGCGCTCGAGCGGAAGGCCTATCTACAATGCTACCTCGCTCGAGCGGACACCAAGTCTGCAAAAAGTGCTGGGAGCACGAAATTCACGCTCGAGCGGCCGTTTCCCCACTCGAGCGGTATTCAAACTTTCTGGAAATTCCAGAACTGTTCTTGGAGTTCAAACTCAATGTTCAAAGGTCTCAATTCATGATTTTTGGCTCAACTTCATATATTTATGTACTAACATGGTACAAGCATCAAAGCACATCATCATGGAGCTCAATTTCAAGAATTGAACACATGTATGTCTCAAATTGACACTAGACTCCCTTCCATCATACACATTCATGCATTCAAAGCTCCTATCTTCACAAATTGTACATGCATGTGATTTATTCCTCTCATTCTCAACTTAGTTAGTACAAAAGATGATTATAACATGAGCTTTAACCAAAATCTACATGAATCATGTGTTTCAAGCCCAAACATGCAAGTTCAAGGCAATTATCTACATGCATGCATATATAGTCTTCTAATTCAACTAGACCAACTCAAATCATGCTCTTGATCACCAACAAGTCTTGAGCTTACAAAATTACAAATTCAAACTTATGAATTCAAGGTCAATTACCTACCTAGAGGCCCAATTCTTCCAAGCTATGGCAAATTCTTGGGTTTAATCCTCCAATTCTCCGAGTTCTTGCCCAAACCTTCAATCCCCTACTCTCTCTTCCTCTAACCGACCCTCTCTTCTCCTCTTTGAATTTGATCAGCCAAAAATGAGGATAGGGAGAGAGAGATTGAGTGTATAAAGGCCCCCCCCCCACTCAACCATTATTTGAATGTAAAACAATTGGGCACTTAAATCATTAATTTTATCTAATTAATTTGGTCCAAATCAATTTCTAATTAAATTTCACCGTAGGCTCTAAAAATTATGCTAATCACAGTGGCGTAATCAATTTCGGGTTCTATGGCCGATAAGGCCCTATCAAACAGATATTCCTACGGTGAACAGATAGAAATTCAAAACCACATATTTTCACATAATGACACACAATACTATATTAAACACCTAATCATACCCATATTACGGACCAATTATCATATTACGGAGTAGGGGTATCACAGTTACATCAAAGGTTTTGAAGGTATACAATTGCATGTCAAGCTTTGCAAGCAGTACCATTGTTATGTTATGATTGCTGAATGGTGATTATTGTAACCTCTTTCTAGACTCTGGAGAACATGTATCTTGATTCAAATGAATAATTTCTCTAAATATTATCTAAAATAGGAACAGCTGCTATGGAACTTCCGCCAGTTTGAGTAACTCTGTGGCTACAGAAGCTGTATTTTTTATTTTCTTCTGTTTTTCAAACTATTATCAGGATAGACAACGAATTTCTCTTGGGATGAAGAATTCATATTTTATGAGCAATTATGACATTCAAGCTCCTTCAAAGCAGAAGTATGATGATGCCATTGAGGAAAAAGATCACATGGTGAGTACTCAGTTAACAATGTTGCCAGATAGAGGCACATTGGGGATGCAGAATTTGGACTTTGAATGTGAAAATGGGCAGCATCTTCTTCTTGCTGAAGTGGAAGCGAGGGCTTCTATTCTTCCACTTGAGGTCCCTCTCGATGATATAGAGAAATCAGACATGGTTAATGCTGCTTGTCAAAATATAGAGCACGTTGATGATGCTGATGCTGATGCTGTAGATCAAAAGAATAAAAGCCAGGCAAAGAAGAAAGCCAATGAAGAGAGGTAATTTTTTTATTCACATATTTTCATGATTTTCTTATAAAAGGCTGTCTGTCTCAGTTTTCCTGTTAAGAATGGAAATTGTTCTGCTCAGGGAACGAGAAATTAGGGCTGCTGAAGAAAGGCTATTAGAGAAAGATATTCCAAGAAGTGCTGATGAATTTGAGAAAGTGGTTAGAATTTCCCCAAATAGCAGCTTTGTCTGGATAAAGTACATGGCATTTATGCTTTCTTTGGCTGATGTTGAGAAAGCCCGCTCAATTGCTGAGAGGTAATCATTTAGCTGTATTATTAGTTTCCAGTTTGCTCTGGCAAAAACATATGGAGTGTTTTTTTTTTCTGCATTGGTATTTTTATTTTATTTTTAAAATCTTATTTGAAATTCTTGCTTCAAGCAAAACATTTTGTCCCTAAATGTGTTTTTATTGTTGTTATTCTCCTTATTATGATTTATTTTTTAACAGGAAATACTGAAAGTTATTAACAATGGGATCCGATCCACTGCCAGCTTTTATCAATGTTATAATAAGCATTTCTCCGGTAGTATGAAGAAAGAAAATATTCAAATTGAGCTGAGATAATTGAGACAAAGGCTTGTTTAATTTGAGTTGAAAAGTAAACGCTAAACCTTAAATTTTCAAAATAACGAGACTGATTTGTTGAGTGGATAGCCACATGGCACATAGGAGTGCATGGTCTTGTGTGTAAGCTTTTGTTTGTCAAGAAAAAGCGAGAATATCTGAACAGGATGTGAAAGTGGATTAGGGATCTTGGGCTTGAAGCAGAGAATTGACATTATTATGGGTCCTGAATTGCATTTCTGCTTTCTGGTCACGTGATGCCTTATTGTATTGATTTGTTCCTTTTTTTTTCTTTGTTTCTTTCTTCTTTGGTTTCATTTTTCTCTACATTCAAATTTTTTGGTTTTACCTTATATTCCCTTCATCAAATATGCTGTGGTTGAACTGACAAGCCATTTTTTGTGTCAGCAGTAGCTAGTTGCATCAAAATAATAAAATAAATGCACATCCACAAATTGGCTTTTATGTTCATAATGTGTGTTAGTTTGCTTCTCACTCTATGTCTGTGTCGTATTCTTTAGGGCTTTGAAGACAATAAACATCCGAGAAGAATCTGAAAAGTTGAATGTATGGGTGGCTTATTTTAATTTAGAGAATGAATATGGATATCCTCCAGAGGTAAAATATATATACTATACATGTATATCCTTTTGCCTTGTTTCCAAAAAACTCTCACCATCAGTATCATTTCAATAGCTCTAGGAGTTTTCTTACTTTAGTTTTTCTCTTCAGGACGCCGCTTCAAAAATATTTGGAAGAGCATTGCAGTATTGTGATCCCAAAAAGGTGCATCTGGCACTGTTGGGAATGCATGAAAGGATTGAGCAACACAAGTTGGCTGACGAGCTTCTCAGCAAAATGAGCAAGAAGTTCAAGCATTCATGCAAGGTATTTTTATGATATAATAAACTAGAGTATTGTTATTGTTTTTTCCTCGAGCGGCGGAGCTATCAAATTAATCTACTAGACTTCACTATACGTTTTTTATTAATTTTTATTTTTTATAGGTTTGGTAAGGCGGATTCAGTGGCTTTTGAATCAAAATCGGGATGAAGTTCAGTCTATTGTAAAACGAGCTGTTGTATGCCTTCCCCATTAAGTTCCTCTCGCAAGCAGCTATTCTAGAGTTCAAATGTGGGGTTCCTGATAGAGGGCGATCCATGTTTGAGGGAATGCTTCGCGAGTACCCAAAGAGAACAGATTTGTGGAGCATTTATCTTGATCAAGTAAAAATCCTTTTCTTCTATTTCTGTTGTTTATTTTTAACAATGAATGATAAAAAAATATAGTTTGCTTTATGCATTAAAATTTGTCTTAAAAAAAAATTAACAAACAGGAAATTTGACTTGGTGATGTGGATGTGATTCGTGCATTATTTGAGAGGGCAACAAGTTTGAGCCTGCCACCTAAAAGGATGAAGGTGTGTGCAACTTAACTGGTTGGTTGTGTTTGTTTTTGTTTTTTTGTTTTTTTTCGTGCTCATGCTAAAGATTTAGTTTTTGAGACTTTCCTTGTCACATGAGTGAGTGAATAAGTGGTTTGTTGGAAATGCAGTTCTTATTCAAAAAGTATGAAAGTCTGTAGGTGATGAAGAAAGGATTGAATCTGTTAAGAGGAAGGCGATGGAATATGTTGAGAGGTAGTCTTGCTTGATGAAGATGAAGATGAAGATGAAGATGAAGATGAAGATGAAGATGAAGATGAAGATGAAGATGAAGATGAAGATGAAGATGAAGATGAAGATGAAGATGAAGATGAAGATGAAGATGAAGATGAAGATGAAGATGAAGATGAAGATGAAGATGAAGATGAAGATGAAGATGAAGATGAAGATGAAGATGAAGATGAAGATGAAGATGAAGATGAAGATGAAGATGAAGATGAAGATGAAGATGAAGATGAAGATGAAGATGAAGATGAAGATGAAGATGAAGATGAAGATGAAGATGAAGATGAAGATGAAGATGAAGATGAAGATGAAGATGAAGATGAAGATGAAGATGAAGATGAAGATGAAGATGAAGATGAAGATGAAGATGAAGATGAAGATGAAGATGAAGATGAAGATGAAGATGAAGATGAAGATGAAGATGAAGATGAAGATGAAGATGAAGATGAAGATGAAGATGAAGATGAAGATGAAGATGAAGATGAAGATGAAGATGAAGATGAAGATGAAGATGAAGATGAAGATGAAGATGAAGATGAAGATGAAGATGAAGATGAAGATGAAGATGAAGATGAAGATGAAGATGAAGATGAAGATGAAGATGAAGATGAAGATGAAGATGAAGATGAAGATGAAGATGAAGATGAAGATGAAGATGAAGATGAAGATGAAGATGAAGATGAAGATGAAGATGAAGATGAAGATGAAGATGAAGATGAAGATGAAGATGAAGATGAAGATGAAGATGAAGATGAAGATGAAGATGAAGATGAAGATGAAGATGAAGATGAAGATGAAGATGAAGATGAAGATGAAGATGAAGATGAAGATGAAGATGAAGATGAAGATGAAGATGAAGATGAAGATGAAGATGAAGATGAAGATGAAGATGAAGATGAAGATGAAGATGAAGATGAAGATGAAGATGAAGATGA